TTTTGGGGTGTTTTTGGGGTGTATTTTAGATTATTTTGGGGTCATTTTTGTGTTATTTTTGGGGTGTTTTTGAGGTTATTTTGGGTTATTTTTGGGGTGTTTTTGTGTTATTTTTGGGGTGTATTTTAGGTTATTTTGGGGTGGGTTTGGGTGTTTTTGGGGTTATTTTTGGGGTGTTTTTTGGGTTATTTTGGGGTGTTTTGGGGTTATTTTTGGGGTGTTTTTTGGGTTATTTTTGGGGTGTTTCTGGGTTATTTTGGGGTTATTTTGGGGTCATTTTTGGGGTGCTTTTGGTGTGTTTTATGGGTTATTTTTGTGTTATTTTTGGGGTGTTTTTTGGGTGTTTTTGAGGTTATTTTTGTGTTATTTTTGGGGTGTTTTTTGGGTGTTTTTGAGGTTATTTTGGGGTTATTTTTGGTGTCATTTTGGGGTCATTTTAGGTTATTTTGGGGTGTTTTTGGGGTGTTTTATGGGTTATTTTTGTGTTATTTTTGGGGTGTTTTTGGGGTGTATTTTAGGTTATTTTGGGGTGTTTTTGGGATGATTTTTGGTGTCATTTTGGGGTTATTTTGGGGTTATTTTTGGGGTGTATTTTAGATTATTTTGGGGTGTATTTTAGGTTATTTTGGGTGGTTTTGGGGTGTTTTTGGGGTGTTTTTTGGGTTATTTTGGGGTTATTTTTGGGGTGGTTTTGGGGTCATTTTTGGGTCATTTTGGGGTTATTTTTGGGGTGTATTTTAGATTATTTTGGGGTGTATTTTAGGTTATTTTGGGGTGTTTTTGGGATGATTTTTGGTGTCATTTTGGGGTGGTTTTTGGGGTGTTTTTGGGGTGTTTTTTAGATTATTTTGGGGTGTATTTTAGGTTATTTTGGGGGTTATTTTGGGGTGTTTTTGGGATGATTTTTGGTGTCATTTTGGGGTGTTTTTGGGGTGTTTTTGGGGTGTTTTTGGGGTGTTTCTGGGGTGTTTCTGGGGTGTTTCTGGGGTGTTTTACCTGCGCAGTCTCTTGGTCACCTCCCCCGTGAGGACCCCGACGTTGCCCAGGGGGTCCCTGAGAGCCGCCTGCACCCCCCGCAGCTGCACCCCCAAAATCTGGGGGGAAAAAA